CCTGGGCTAGATGCCCCCTGCCCTCTTGGTCCTGATGGGCTACCTTTTGCTGGGTGTGGATGGAAACCTCCTGATGAGGTGAGTCATCCAAAAGTATTTTGGAATGAAAATGAGCGTGTAAATTATATTTGTTTGTAAAGTAATAAGAGTAAATAACATAAAAGTTAGGACTTCAGATGAATAATTATGTATGTGCGATACGTTTTGACATAACCACAAAACGTCTAACTCCTTGTAAAAAAACACAGCAATATACTGTACACAAATGGAACATAATAATATACTGTTCAATAAGTCATGCATAAACTAGAAGGCTCTTCTAGAATACAAATGAAATCAAGTGATTAATAAACTTAGATTACTATTCACACATACCAAAATGTAGATATGATTGTTAATAGTCAAAAAATGTCTTATAGAAGAAGCAACACTTTTTATAAAAATCGTATAAAGAAAATATGAAAAAGACCTTCCTCTAATTGAATAGAAAAACCATTGTGTAAAAATAGGCGATGCTCACTTTAAAAAAAAAGTGTTTGTGTTGGTAATTTATGTTATTTTTTTAGTACAAACACAATTTAACGTTTTACTGCTTATATTTTTGACTTGTTGAAATTAGACGATACATCCGATTTTTACACCTGTTTATTATTATATAATGCTATACAAATATGTAAATAAATTTAAGCAACTTATTATATACATTAAATCTTAAGTGGAAAGAACTCAAAATCTCTGACTAACAGTCACAGAGCCAGTGCTCTACAACTGAGCTATCTAAAAGCATTAACCATCTCCGTCAATGTTCATTTATAAAGTCTTTGTAACTTTTACAACGTAGTATGGTGGAACATACTCACAGTAAAAATTGACAGAAGTAGCTTGTACCCTTAAATAGTTACGTTGCAGAACACTGGCCCTGTTAGCCAGCGTTCCTAGTCCCTGAGTTTTTATTCCCCTATCGATTTTTTCACTTAAAATATAATGTTAGTATTTATACGTTTATTGTCGATAGAGGGCGGTAGTGTGTTTTTAAAATTAGATATTCTGGGCTTGAAAAAGAAATAAGGTTATTGAACTGAATAAATTGACAACGCATTATGTTTTTTATTTTCCTACCTGGTTACTTAAGTTTTAACTTGTATGATAAGATTGATTTGACCATAATGAACAAATTTGATCGTCGATTTAAGGTCTGGAAGTAATCAGTATCCTGTTGATTTTTTTTTTAATTAACTCATGTTGTTCTAGCTTTGAGGTCACTTACACGTACTTAACAGAGGAGTCATTAAGGATATTTATCAGGTTTTTTTCTGATGCCTTAAAACCCATGATAACTATTATATATCGTCATATTTGACGAAACTACAGCGAAACATGAATGAATGGTGAAATAAAAATCAATTAGAAACAGTAACGTTTTCGCCTTCTGAACTCTTTCAGTATAGTAGGGTGTCTGGCAGTAAAAACTAGTATTATAAAAACATACATAATTGTTCAATGGTAAAACGTTACACCTCATCAGTTATAGTATTAAATAGTAAAGTTTGAAGCCTTAACCCATCGTATGTATGTTATTCTTTAATGATAATAAATATGGTATTAACAACAGATACTCGATGTTTATGTAACAATCCATGACCGTAAAAACACACACTAAATTGCAAATGAATATATCAAGATAATTCCCTAATGCCATAAATCGGGGGGGGGGTAGAGATAAAGAAGACTGACCTCGCGTGGACCCACCAGAACAGCTAGGGCCCCTACGCTATAGCGTAATGAACATATATGTGTTAATCTGGCCAGACTATCAAAATTGTTATTTGGGGCCCCCTCCCGAGCTTGAAGGGAGTGGCACCCCTATCTTAGATGAGCAATACATTTCTCATTATTTTAACAATACCTTTAACTTACTATTTCAATACACAACAATATCATACAGAACCTAAGTTTGATAAGCCCACACAGTTTAAAACTACGATGATTGGGACTTGTGGTTATAAAATAAATAGAACTATAGTTGACTCAGATTGTTCTACAACGTCACAAGAAATTCCAATAGGATTAAAATTAGAAACCTTGATGGGAAGTTTTTTTCTGTTGACAGGAAACGGTGTGACATTACAAAAAAAAAAGTTTATTTTCGAAGACTACTAATTTCCAAATAAATAATGTCTAATCAATGTGAAGGATGATGAAATGTTTTGAGATCTTCATTACGTTTAATAATAATAATAATATTCTGTATGTAGATGCTTGAAAATAAAACCAAGTGGTAATGGCACATTTTTTTTTTTATATTGTTTTGTTTACATTCGAAATAAATGTTTCCGAAGTCTAAAATAGTTAATCATTTTTGCTCTATCCTGTATAGAATACTTCAGTAAGCATTGCTTTTGTCTCAAAACATATCATTTATAACATACAATTTCATATAATTATCCAGAAGATACATAGATCATTGAACTTGCCCATGTTTATTTACAAGCGCCCTCTAGTAGTGAATGCAAATATTTTGATGCAAATTAAGTACAAAATAAGTACAGTATTTTCATAATGCCTGACAATATTTTTATGATGTCAGAAACACTTAAACCAATTACGCATTCAAGGGCTGCCACCAGGTGACGCTCTGTAGTCATAATTTTGTAACAAAATTGTGCCAGTTTTAGTGTGAAATTAAATATTATACGTGTTTTTCTCAACTTCACGAAGAGTCGTCAAATGTATACGCCATGAAACTCTAAAACTTTAGTTTAATTGGAAACCACGATTTCATGAAAGTTTATTCACTTTTTTAGCTTAAATCAACAAAATGCAGTACAAATACAAGTTGAGTTGGGGAAGAATCAAATTTATAAATCATGTTTGTTAGTGGCCCGGCATGGCCAGGTGGTTAAGGCACTCGACTTGCAATCTGAGGGTCGCGGGTTCGAATCCCTGTCACACCAAACATGCTCGCCCTTTCAGCCGTGGGGGCGTTATAATGTGACGGTCAATCCCACTATTCGTTGGGAAAAGAGTAGCCCCAAGAGTTGGCGGTGGGTGGAGATGACTAGCTGCCTTCTCTCTAGTCTTACACTGTTAAATTAGGGACGGCTAGCGCAGATAGCCCTAGTATAGCTTTGCGCGAAATTCAAAAACAAACAAACAAAATGTTTGTTAGTTTTAGCGCAAAGCTATACAGTAGGCTATCTGTGCTCTATCCACCACGGGGAATCGAATACCGGATTTTAGCTTTGTATGTACGTAAACTTACCGCTAACCCGCTACACTTTTATGGAATGTTATTAAAAGTTTTGAAACTTAAAAAAATGTTTATAATAAGAAACTCTTTTTTTTTTGCCTTGCCGTTGTTCTTATTGTTATCTTAACCATTTTCGTCTTTATAACCTTTTTGAAAGGAAATTAATGCAAAATAATTAGATTATTACATACACCAAACACAAAAGGTTTGCTTTGTCAAGCACCAAGCTATACAATGAGTTATCTGTACTGTCACTGCTGTGTTCATGACGGGTATCGAACCCCTAGTTTTAGCGTTATAAGCCCCAGACTTAACGCTGGGCCACTGTAGGGGCAACATGCAATGTTATTTAAATCTAAATGTGATGTTTGCTGCTGGTAAAGAATTAATATATCGCAAACTGCAACGGGCGAAATGTATGATAATTTGGACTTCTCGATGGCTACTGTTATGTTGTGCGGGTTTTATTGCCGCTTTTATATTTAACTATAACTCACATACACAATATTGTGTCAAAAAACAGTGTATTGGGAAGATAGTTTTTAGCTTACAGTATTAAAATGCGTTGTTGAACGTGTGCACCAGCATGCACCGCACATTACTTATTCTGGTTAACTACAAACTTCTTTGCGAAAATAATTAGTTTCAAAGTTATGTGAAACCAGTACGCGGAAGCCTGTGACGTTGTCGTTCGATAACGCGATATTTGTCTGATGCAAGAATCGCTACAATTGAGTAAAGTCAATAGTGCGAACGTGGAACATCCGCGCTGCATGAGAACACAAATTCTTGAAACACGATATTTTACGTGATAAGTACGTAATTACATCTTTTTCAGTAAATATATAAACTTTATAGAAATTTGTATTTGATATTTACAAGAAACTTGAGCACGATATGAATAGGTAACGTATGTATCATAAAAACAAACAAAGAAAACGAAAGAAAAGGAACAGGTTTTCTGCTTAAATCATGTACTTAGATTTTTATGGATAACTTAAAATCTAGTTTGATTACACTAGTTTGAAACAACGGGTTAATTAGTGGGTTAAACAACACACACACAGTTTTAGGGTTAGTCATTCAAAGTATTCACAAATCCAGATTTATTAGAAAAAACTAATGTTAATTTCCACTTCATTAAACATTCATACTTCATAATCGTTAAACTTGGATGGGCAAATTTGTAAATATTTAGTCTGTTTTTTTTCTTTCTGATATTATTATACACACACACACACAGTTTTAGGGTTAGTCATTCAAAGTATTCACAAATCCAGATTTATTAGAAAAAACTAATGTTAATTCCCACTTCATCAAACATTCATACTTCATAATCGGTAAACTTGGATGGGCACATTTGAAATATTTAGTCTGTTTTTTTTCTTCTGATATATAATAACAGCGAAAACTAAGATCCAAAATAGTTCAATGTGGGAAGTAAATAATAAATTTAGCTAAATCTTCAAACGAACAAGAAATAGTCATAAGGTGTGTGTATGTATATAAATATATGGAAAAAGTATAATTTTTGCTTGAAGATTAACGTTGAAAGACCATTGTTTAGACCCTCACCAAAGACATTAAACCTACAAAAATAAATCATTCAGTGCTCCTGTGCTTCCTATGTATATTTATGCAAGTTTTTGGAAAACCGAGATCAAAGACATTGGCGGCTCGTTAGATGAATGAAATGAGGCAGTCTCTAACCCTGAATTTCCAGAAGGTAACAATCTGTTTTTAATTGAAATTTTATCTTGTAATATAATGCTTATCAAAAATATTTTATATATTTCATGACTGTTATATACAAGTAAACGCTTTAACA